GTGCAAAAGTATTCGTCTGTTGTGGCAACGAGTATTAATCATGTGCATTTCTCTGACCAACAAAATTTCCCCTCATCTGCGAACGTCTTCCTGTAAATTGCGTGGTGCGCTAATGTTCGAAGCCTCGTCAAGCTCTGCTTTGTATATCTTTCTAGCACACATCCTTCCATGATCTCTAAGCGTTCTTCTTGTGTAAGGACGTCGTTTTGTCCCGATTTTAACTCGCTACTCCTCCGTTCGCCTATTACTGTTGACTCAGTAGTATCCGCTCTTGGCTCAACACAGTAGTAGTATTCACACATGTAGTCACTTTCAAACAATCTATTTGAATCCTGAGTCAGTTCGATCACAATAGCCTTCACAAACTTTTTTTAGTTCTTTTAAATCTGCGCTTTCCAAGCGCCTTCAGAGCCACTCATTCCAGACAGATCAATAGTTAGGAGTCAGACTAACCCAGTCTCACAATTCAATCTTCTTCGGAGGTTAGGGAGATGACAATGGCCCTCTTCATTTAAAACCTGACTATGGGAGACAACAGGTCTACAGGTTATAAGCTCACGACTTGATTGATGTAGATCACGAGCGCCACGCATTGTCTCTGATGGTGGGAGGGCAGCCCCTGGTCAAATTAGTGCAAACAGGCCAACCACCTGCGGCTGGCCGTGGTCGCAAGTGCGTGACATAATACTGTCGGAAAACCTATGTGCACTATTCTAAATCTTCAAGGCTGTGTGTGACGGTCCTCAAGCAGATTCATACGTATCTCTGCAATCACACTCCCGAGCTGGACTTGCTGTCCTCTGCCTTGTGAGTCAGGCTATTGAGCCAGAGGCTTCGGGCGTGGTCCCTAAAGCTAACCTCCATGTACTCCACTGCCTTCTGCGTCAGACTGTTGAGACAAAGGCTAGAGGTAGGGCACCTCAACGAAACCCCTATCTCGGAATGGCCAACCGGAGAGCATCATCCGCTCTCTCGACCACGTCGGAAATACTTCCTCCTCTTGTTTCTCTTTCTCCTCTTCCCCGTCTATTGAACAAGAGACTGCCACTGACATCGCAACTGCTGCCATCTATACATGTCGCTCTTCCATCAAATCAAGAGTTTCTTTTCGCATTGGTTCCTTTAACGTCCGCGCTTTGAGTCAGATCGGATAGCAGGCAACACTGACTATCGCTCTTCGTTCTCTTGGTATTGATGTGTGCTGTGTCTCTGAAACACACATACAAGATAACAGCGTCGTGACTAATCCTCGACTTCCTGGTTCTGAATCTGACGACGATTGGTACATACTGTCTCTGGCGATACTGAATCATCTCCGGTGTTGGTATTTCCCTCAGCAAACATGCTGAAACCAGTCTGCTCGACTGATTATCGGTGAACAGCCGCGTTTGCGCGGTTCGACTTCGAACCTCTAATGGAGTTATTAAGCAGCGTCTGAAGCCAAGGTGCCTTTTCCTCGCCTCAGTTTTGCCCCTACTGAATGCAATTCAGAAGGTATCAAAGACGATTTCTATCGAAAGCTTTTATCTCTTCTTCGCATAGAGAAGACTGCGGACATCGTGGTTGTTGCTGGTGAATTGAATATCCAAGTGGGTAGCCTTTCAGACTGAACAGCTCCTAGGAGGGCGCCTTGGTGTCGATGTACGCCGAACAGACAATGGTGATGGATTCCCGCAACTGTGCGCCGACCACAATATTTATAGTAGCAGCACTACTTTCCGGCACAAACGTACACTCCGTGACACCTGGTGCCCTCTGAATTCCTCAATGTCCCATACCCAAATTGACCACATTGCCATCAGCTACAGGTGGCACGCATCAGTCCAAGACTGTCGATCAGTTTGGAGCACATGCCTGGATTCCGACCATGCTCTAGTGCGCGCAAGCTAGGTGCTCACTTACCCAGCTCCAAAGAAGTGCCTATCTACTAATCTTCTTGTTTGTAATTCGAACTCGCAGTCCACGGTTCAACAATATCATAACGAACTGGCCCACCAAGTGTCAGTGATGAATGAGGTTGGTGAACCGAACGCTGACTGGGATCGTCTCAAGTGTACCATAAGAAATGCCTTTGGTGCTTGCTGTGCACCCGACTTGAGACGTAATTGTGAGTGGATCTCTTAAGCATCGATCGGTTTGATCGAAGCGCGTAAACGGATTCCGATAGGCACTGAGTTTCAGCGTTTCCGTAATTCCCTGAAATGACGTCTGACAAAGAGTCTTCGAGTTGACCGGGAACGTTGTGGGTTGCAACGGCCCGTGAGATGGAGAAAGCCAATGTTATTGGGAACAGCCGAGTGCTATTCCAGCTCATCCGGAACGCGGGTCTGAGGAAGCCAACCGTTAGCGAGACAACAGCTGAGAAAGACGGGCAGCTGATCCATTCTCAGCATCGTCAACTAACCCGTTGCGCGGAACATTTTGAAGAGCAATTCAGCATGCCTGCTGCGACATTCGCTTGCCAAATCGCCTGAGCCAAAGTGGGAAGTTGATGTCACCTCCCACTTTGGAAGAGATTCCACATGAGCTTTGCTTGGTGAAACTATACAAGGCTCCTGGACCCGATGATCTTCGTCCATCTTTGCTGAAAAATGGTGGTGGCTCTTTATTGACTCAACTTGTTACTCCATTTAACACGATTTGTAACAGTGAAGAGATACCTTCGGATTGACGACTGTCAACTGTTGTACCCACCTTCAAGAAGGGTTAGCGAACTTTGTGCGAAAATCGTCGAATCATTAGACTTATTTCCGTTGCATCCGAACTCCTCATGGATATCACTCTGCCGTGATAACCGATTGGCTAAAAGCCAGGCTGGCTTCGGCCCTGGTCGTGGTTGTATCGACCACATCTTTACATTTTGCCAAATGTTAGGGCAGACACGCCTACAAACGACCGACTATGGTGGTTTTCCTTGACTTGAAAGCTACCTCTGTTTATCGAGACACCTTGTGGCACTGCCTATCCATGAAGGGCATCCCAACTAAATTCCTTTCCATTCGTAAGTATTTCTACCGTGACTCCCGAGGCTGTGTAAGAGTCTACGGATAAATCTCTCCTATTTCACATGACAAGTGGGGTTCACCAGAGTTGTCCTATATCTTCTTTCCTCTTCAACTATGTTGTCGAAATGATCATGAGTGAATTTTTTTCAGACTCTACCGGAGTGGAAGTTATGCCAGGTGACCCACTGACAAACCTGGAGTTTGCGAACGATATAGCTCTTCTTGGGTCTGACGCAGTGACTATGCAAACACTGCTGGATAAACTGGCGCGTAGCGCTGCACGCTCCGTCATGTGCTTTGCACCTTCAAAGTGCAAAGTACGGCTGCAAGACTGGATCGACACACCTCCGATTCTAGCCACCACCGAACAACAACCGGAAGTGATGGATCGATTCACTTACCTTGGTAGCTATGACGCCTCTGATGGTCACATCACTGAGGAAGTTACTTCGCGTATCAACAAGACCCTGTGTGGCTTTCCAGAGACAACTGTCTATAGAGACGGTGGGATATCAGTCTGTCAGTGAAAGGTAAGGTGCATAACGCTGCGGTAAGGCCGGTCTTAATGTATGGATTCGAGACCTGCCCAGTTCGCGGCGAAGACATAATACTGTTGGCCCTTTTTGACCACAACTGCTTGTGGAGTATTGATCACGTCTGGTTGGAACACCGAGTGAGCAATGTTGAGGTCCGCCAGTTGCTTTTCGGCAAGAATTCTTATGATTCCTCACTCGAGTGTTTGCTGAATCTTAATCGCTTACGTTGGCTAGGTCATGTCCTCCGTATGTCCGTTGATCGGCTTCCTTGGCTTGTGTTATACGCCATGGCTACACCTAGTTGGTTGGAATCGCGAGATGGCCAGTCCATAACGTGGCATAATGGCATGTAGAAATTGACTGAGAAACTTGTTCAGGCGGGTGCGTGCTGTCTTCGTGGATGGGGACCTCGGGAGGGTCAACACCAATGGATGGAGACCTTATCAGACATGCGGCAGTCACGCAGTCAGCGGCGTTCCTGCATTCGGTTTCTTGCATCTGGTTGTTAATTTCTGCTCCATTTTGATTAGTTTGACGCGCTTAGCTTTCATTTCCTTTACCCACTATCTTACCGTTGTTATTATTCTTGCGACATTGCTTGGGTGTTCGTAAAGGCTTGCTCCGTCTCGACATTTCAGTTGTACCCGCACCTTGAAAGCAACATCCCAACGAAATAAGTACGCATGCTTCAGCTAGGATTAGCGAGAATCTAGTGCGCATCCATTATTCAGCGGAAACGAACAACCGATCTTGAGCCCGTTTTGTATGTCACTCATCAGTGACACCTGACGCTGTGATTCGAATCGACATTCCAGCCTTACGGATTACGAATACAGCTTTACGGACAAGCATTTTTGAACTCGCGCAATTCACTGACACCAAAAGGAGCGGGCACGCACAATACCAAGTTTGGGATCTAGTTAGGTGCTTCAGATCGACCGACAACGTTGAATTTACGCAGTTTATCTGTTATTCATGGTCATGTAGTCAATTTGAATCTGGGGATGCTGTGATTCGGTGATCGTTAAGTAATTCAGTGCGAACACTGTGTCATAAGATTATAATGCTGGCATAGGAGTCGCATCCGGCACACTGTTAAAGGAAACGGCCGCCCTCGTCAGTACGATAAACTTTGACCTCTTAAAAGTCTTTGAAGTGGCGCCCTGACTTCAATGGGCGACTGACCTGTGCGTTCGTGTTATCCGTAACGATCACGGTTTCCGCACTGCTGGCTGAGATACTTATAAAATGTCAGTGCTTTTGTTGCTTTGTTTTGGCCACAACAATGGTTACACGCCCCTTATAGGACATGGCGCATCCATAGAGGAAAATGCGCTTCTATGATTACCCATCGCGCCTTCCATCCTACACTCGGAGTGACTTGTTTTTCACTCTCGTTGTTCGTCTTTTTAGTACTTTGTAATGGCGGTGGATTTTATTGAGCAGAATTCACCAAGCTTTGCCGCGTGAATTACAACTGATCTTTTAAGCTTTGCGGTGACCATTTGGTTCTAAATGGGTAGTACAATGCCCTTTTTCATAATTCTTACTGGATTCAACTGTACGTACACTGTGGCGCATGCATCCATGCTTGCCCTTTCATGTTTGGTTCATTATCTGTTTCCCGTGACGTATAACTTTCCTCTAGCTAACAATGACGACCTTTGACTGAGAACATGCATGTAATTGTTGTGTGTAGATTTTACCTAATAAAGCACGTTTATTACATGTGATATGTCTTGGTATAGCTTGTCAGCCACGGTGGCGTACGAGAATATCTCACTTGCGAATACCGCATTCAGAGCTCCACATTGTTTCCCATTCAAACATTTAAATATAATCGTGCGTTGTTAGAAATGTCTCCGAGAATGAACTATGTTCTTTACTTCAGGCGCTCTACGCCGGGCGGCTGTTGCACTGCTGCCGAGCAACGCGTCGAAGATTGTTACCGTAATAATCCGGGTAACACGCTGTTGTGCACCCGAGCAGTCAAAGAATACGTGCGCTGTGTGAACAACTTCCGACTGGTACGATTTTGGTGTTCATACATGTTTTTATTTTCTCGTCGTCACCATCACCTTCATTATACTTACATCACGGCAATTGATTTTTTCCCCGTCTATGCTAAACGAACCATCAACGAGGAAGCACATGTTCACGTTTAAGCTAATTATGTTACAACTTCGTAGCTAGATCACAGTTGATTACTTGAAAGAGCATTTCGCGTACGAATCGCTTTATTGATTCTCAAAATCTTGCAAAATGCTTGGAACTGGTCGAGAACTCATGATTTCAAAAAATTTTTGATAATAACCGGTTGGTATAGTTTGTGAGCAACGTTTCGTTTTTGACACAAAAGCTTCCTCAGGCCGAGTGAACCAGTCGAGGATTGGTACAGCATTTATAGCGTACTGGGATGGTAATCGCGACGAATGGGAGGTAGGCAGAAGGTCAATCGCATTATACGTCACAGCGTCACTTCAAGTAGTGCATGGAACGGCCGCAAGTGGTCCGCGTTACAAGGTCACACAGGTGAGCCCTGTTAACGTTGGGTGCGGGATGATGTGATGTTCACTCTCTGCCCTGGATTCGTCCCTCGGTGCTCCTCAGACTAGTCGGGCTAAGACAGCCCGCCATACATTCGAAAGTTCTTCCCCGTCCATTCTGTTCGCGCAGCTGTTCGCTCTGCTAATCTCAACCGCCTTTGGGGCGTTGATCGTGACTCTCTCCTAACAATCTCGATGTCATCCAAGTCAGTATCATGACTTATATCTATCGCGTGCATCGTTATTGCCGAATCCCTTAGTAGAGCCTTGTATTCAAGTTCGTTCCTCGGTGGCGGTTTTATGCACCTATTGTGTTCTGCTATCCTTGTGCGTAGCTCTCGCGGTTTGGCCTATGTACACATGTGCACAATCTTTGCAACCAATTTTGTAAACGCAATTAGTTGTCCTATCTGCGGGAAGTGGGTCCTTCAAGTGCACCGGTGTCGGGCGGGGCATTTGGCCTTTCTGGAAAAGTACCTTTTTATTTTCATTGTCTAGGACTCTCCGGATGGCCTCCGAAGTTCCATCTTTATAAGGAATTCCTACCGTCTCAATTCACTCCATTGTACATCGTCGGTGTGGATTTAAAATTCACTTGCTACCTTGGGTACCCACTATCAAGCAATTGGTTCGTTGCTTCTTTCCGCGCGACTTTTCTGTCTTCTTCCTCCGTGCACAGGATCTGGGAAACAGAGATGAGTCAGTTCCAGCATACACATGCTTCGGGTTACCTGAACTATAGTGGAGTACCCCCATCTGTGTCCGTCGACTTACGTTATTTTTAGACTATTCCCATTCCTGTGAACTAAGCCGTCAGGGAATGGCAATGCGCCACTGCACGATTTCAATTTCATAGTGAAATTTATACTCTCCGCAAGTGCTCAAGCTGTTTAGAAACCCGTCTTTTCTATCCCCTTTTATAATCACGAATGTGTCATCCATGTAACGCCATCAAATTTTCGTTGAGCTACTGGTCAGTCACCATGTACGAATTTGTCAATACGGGGGATATAGGCGATCCCATAGCAAGTCCCTGTTCCTGAGTGTGAAATTTGTATTGGAACGTGAAATAAGACATGTTAAGACACAATGTCATTTCCTTAATTATTTGATCTACCGTCAACTTCGTCTTCTCTCCAAAGTTCTTCTCCCTAGTTAGACGGTGTTTCGCTATCTCCAACGCGTCGCATATTAACACGTTGGTAAAGAATGAGCTAACATCGTACCTGACCATTATATCACCCGACTCAATTTTAAAACCCGACACCTTTCGCGCTGTCATAAAAGTTTTTACGAACGCAGAGAATGAACATCACATCATCCTCGCACCCAACGTTAATAGGGCTTAAATGTTTGACATTGTAACGCGGACTACTTGCGGCCGTTCCGTGCACTACTTGGAGTGACGCGGTGACCTGTAACGCGATTGAGCTTCTGCGTCTATCTCCTTGGTCGCGATTACCTACCCAGTTATTTTGACACCTTGCAAATATCTGCAGATAAGAGCTGACATCCGCCCCACTAAGCACAATTCTGTGCACTATCGTGAAGGTGCTCACTAATTTGCACGCCAAATAGATTTCGTTATATGCACCCTACTGGGTGTTCTCTGTTGCCGTCTGGCAGATGCGCTCACTTGTCCTCATCCAGCATCTTGCCGCATGTGGACTTGAAGTAGTGTCTCAGTTTTGCCGCTACTAGGGATTCCCTGATGAATGTCCGGTTCTAAAAATAATTATCTCATATTTTGAAACCATTTAATAGGATACCGGGTTTCAGAAAGTCACGAGACTTTTTGATGCACTCAGCAACCTCATCGCTACCATTGTCAACAGCATTACAAGGACACTGTTTTATTAGTTTCGCTTATATATGCTGGATTGCTTAAGCAGAACAGGAAATGTTTGGTCTAAAACTCGGATTTTCTGAAATAAATCTTTTAGTTCAGGTCAACTGCGTTAAATCATCAATGGGCGGTCAAATAATGCAGTCTAATGAGCTACCCGGTATGTCGATCTCACGCCTCCATGCCGTGAACAAGGCCGGTGCCAACCAAATTTATTGAAGCAAAACAGCGTACTTACATCCAAAGTCTATTGTTGCGAAAGAGCATGAGTTGACTCCATAGTGATTCATCTAGCCTCTCCACTTCTTACTGTGCTGCACTGAGGAGGCACATTCAGAATGTTGGTTTCAAGTCTTCCGTGGTTGTAAAAGTGACAAAGCACGATATGCAAAACCACGGAGGCATTCGGTCTTTCGCCAATGCTGCCCGGAAATATCGTAATGCGGTAGCTTATTGATCCACGAAAAATAGCCAAATGGTTGAGGTTGTTTTGATCAGTAGAGTCCACACGTGGCCAACTGCTGACGCAGCGCCGTACAGACATGTGTGCTATCATACTCTCCATCCTCGGCTAGGAGGTCGCTTTTAAATCAGCTGGTGACGTCATTTTGGCGACGTGTGAACTTTTCCTTCCTTCGCTTGGACTACTGCTTGATGCGAAAACATTAGGTACCATTCATGCATACGGCGACGCGGGGTTTATAACCTTCAGGGGACGCTTACTCATCTCTTGATTGTGCAGCGGAGCCGTCTGCATGGATGTCCTGAGGGTGTTACATTCTATTTTGGAATCGCTGATACGACAAACGGAGTCGAGCATGGACTTATGGTAGGTATTTTCTTGGTTTCACCACAATACGGAGAGCATCAGGGATGCTTTATTTTGTCCTCCGCAGATTGCTGATCCAAATGACTGTGATTGAACTCTCGTGGAGTGGAAGAATGCATCAGCTATTCTGCCGCAATACAAAACGATTACCTAGTTGTACAAAAACATAGACGGAGACAACACAAGTAATATCCGTCATTGTTTTTTACCATACATGATTAGTAAGATGGATAGTCGGGCTAGAGAGGAAGTATTAAGAACGTCTCAACACAAACTTCATCGAGCTCGGTTCCTGGCCATTTCAACAAGCGTCCCCAACCAAACGTGTTCACTATCTTTGGTCAAGGAGTAGGGACACCAGCCGGTTGATGATCCGCGCTCTTTTTCCATCCACATGTTGGTCGGGAGTCGGTGCGCGTAACACGTGGCTAAGTCGTTGGGGCCTGGTTTTTTAGTTAACAGTGCTTGGTGGTTCACTTCTACTTTCAGTACCATTAACATCAAGGCACCAAACACAGTCATTATTCGCGCAGTGCTTTCTCCAAATTTAGGCTAAACTTCGAAACCACGAGTGGTCGAATGGGCCAGAATTCACAACTGTACAGAAAGGATGATGAACGGACGGTTACATTGTGGACCGCTCTTCAGCGCAGGTGTAATGTCGCGTTGGTGCCATGAGTGACGAAGTCGAGGAAAACCAGCTCGAGATTATTCTCTGCTGTTTGTCACTTCATGTTCTATTCCTGCCAAAGACGGACCTTGCTGATCCTGGAGGAAAGCTTTACATTTGGAGAGTGTAAAGCACAGTCCGAACTGACTGATGGCCAGTGTTGTTTGGTACGTTTTTGAGCCGTCACAGAGTGGAGCACTTTTCGACATACTCGAAGTCAAGAAGTCGATCAGCTGGATGCAGCTCCATACCGTTCAAGCCGTCTCCAGTGAACGCGATTTCCATGACATCGTCAGTGGCGTGGTTAGAAAGATGACAGCTGGCATCCCAGTCTCACGCTAGAAGGGCGGCGACAATTTGCCATTAACCCTCATTGTCCGAACTACGCGCGAATCGAGGTGCGGTTGATCCAGTTGCCAGGACACGCGTTTTCGTGACAACGATAAGTTGCGTTTGTAAAGAGGTTTAACGCGAGCAGAATGTAAAGAAAATGGAATCTAGAAAGATGCGCGCACAACTAATCGGGATGAAATGGAAATTAACAGCTAAATGTAAGAAAGCAAATCCCGGATCGTTTCTGACTGCGACTGCGCCATGTCCGATAGAGTCTCCAGCGACAGTTGTGGACAATCCCGAGTCCCCCATCCACGAAGACGACACGCATCAGTCTGATCAAGTCTCAGTCAATTTCTTCATGCCTTTATTAGGCATCAGCAGTACACCAGTTCGCTACTGCGCAACCACATTCAATGACGCGTAGGCTAAGGATACTGCGATGGTCGCCCGGTTCCCTACGCAGGCTCGAACTCGCGACCTCAGATTACAAGGCAGGCTTGTGATCCTCAAGGCTACGGACACATCACCGACTAGTCACTTCGCGGTTTCGCCTAACGTGTTGCAACGATGGCATATTACGTACGCGGATGAAGCCGGCCAACGGGCATACGGCAGACATGGCCTAGCCAACGCAAGCGGTTCAAATTCAACAGACACTCCAATGAGGCACCAGGTTTCTTGCTAAAAACCAAGTGTTGGACCTCAGCGTTGTTCACTCGGTGTTCCCACCAGATGTGAGCACTACATTGTAACACTTGTGGTAAAACATGGTCAAGCGTTTAATGTCTTCACTGTGAACTGGCCATGTCTTTGATCTATACAGTGACGCTGGGCGCAGTGTTATACCGTCGAGCTTTTACTGCCTTGTCAGGCACTTGTATCCCAACCAGGCATTCGAAAAGAGCACATTCGTGCATTGTGTCGAAGACGCTCTTAATATCGAGTAACAAGACCGGAGAGGATCGCCATTATAAGTGACGGTGCAAATTGTAATGTGATCTATTCAGCATCGATTTTGAGAAAACCCGGCCTGCTCTTCGCGGTCCTCACAGGCGCCATTTAGTGCGGAAAACAACAGGCAATGGAGATCACTATAATTTCCGCATTCCGACTGTGGGCCATTTTACAAGTTGTGATTATAAAGGAACAGTTTTATTCGGTCGAAGCAGTTTGTTACCACATAGGCGACACTTGCAGTTGGATTTGGCACAAGAAGACCTAACTGCTGCTATTAAGTTCGGCGAACGTGCGACCAATCATCTTCATATGTGTTCAATGAGTGTTTACTCGAATCTGATGCTAACCTATTTCGATACGAATTCAGAACTTCCGGCTTCACCAGTTTGCAGGTATCTATGCATTCACAGCGTCGTCGAGGGCGTCCACCGAAACTGCAGATCAGCCCAAATCTAGAGGCAATTTCGTACGCAACCCTTCCAGCAGCAAGTGATCACGATGTAATCGATATGTGTCCATGCGCCGTAATACCTTCCTGCAGGTGCTGTGCCGGAAATAACCGAGCACCTTCACTCAAATGTAGTAACCGCTCATCGCCATCATCACTGACGTCTGTGTCGTACTGGAGGATTTCTGTGTTGTGTCCTCACATCGCTGCAACACCGATACGGTCCCAGTGATCGGAATGGCAGAAGTTGACATCAAAGTCAACCGAGGCCACAGTTAGGATTGCGCGTCACAATCTAAGACACAGCGAGTACTCAGAAACCCAACATCCTATACCGTATTGTTTTTTCAGATAAAGCGAATCAGTGGACAAGATTCCAAACTGAGCATTGCGATTACCACCTGCGCTTCTTCTGTGACGAAGTAGCTCGCTCAACTAACGAAACACTCTTCTTGCATGAAGTCAGCGTTGCAGTTTGTGGGACCGAAGACAGCAATGATAAACAGGCACTTAATGGCCCTGAGCGACCTCGTCCCTTTGAACGGACCGGGTAGTCGGACGGCGCACAACTGGTTACCGGCTTTGATCCAGTCGGAGCGGCTTGATCGGCATCCGAATCTGCACTGTCTTCAGAAAGATGCAAGAAGTAAGTTCCACCAGTGTCATATTATAGCGAGAACGACACGACAGGGGGGTAGACGTTTATTGCACACCGAAAATGGGCACATGAGGGTCTCACGCGCGCCATCGAATATCGACTAGATTTCCGTCCCACCACGCAACACAGGTACGGATGTTAGAGACGAGCCAGTCCTTTCGTCTCGGGAGCTCTGACTTGGAAGTCCCGCCTTCCTGTTTTCGCCTCGATCTCCACTTCTCTGTACCCGATTTGGATCGGCCAGGAGTCGTTCGAGAGCTCACGACTTGCTTGTTCTGGGTTGTGTCAATCGGCTCGGCCTCGGTCCTGTGGGCTGCGCTAGCGGCGTATTTGTCTGATTTATTGCGCTGTCCACATATTCCCGCTCCATAGTTCCGGGCCCAGGCTCGTCGCTAGCCGTCCTTCTCGATCCGCTCTCAGCTAGCTCCGAAGAGCTCCCCCGAGGCATTCTTGGTAGCGGCCCCTCTACAATATGAAGGGGATCGTAAGGTAAGCACAAAGCGCGAATCCTGTAGGCCCGGCTTGGAGAAGACCGCGAACTCGTCGTTGGTTAGATCCTCTGACATTTTGGGCTGAGTACAAAATGGGTCGTTCGGGTTTCTGCCTGGAAGCGAGATGAACCAACAGCGCCAGTTTCCGTCACCAGCGACTTCGTTTTTGGCTACCAAGTCAAAGGTCATCCCTACGGAGCCCCATGGCATCTCAAATCAGGTGACAGAACAACACCGTCCTCAGCAAGTGATGGGCGTGCATGCATGTAGGCAGTGTCACTGTTTATTGTCCGATGACGTGGTGCAACCATTGGTGCCTGCTAATTGCCCGCGTACGTTCTTAGCCACTTGACACAAACAGTGCAACGCTAGTGGCGAAGGCCGGTGCCAAATTAGCATTTCTCTTTTCGATGGTTGTCGGTAGGTTCTCCCAATTATGTGCAACTCAGAACTCAGCGAGTAGCCGATGTTGCGCGGCTGTGCCGTGTAGCCAAAGGACGAGATAGGTGTGGATCATTAAGGGGTTCAAGCCATTGAAACAGCTTGCTCTGCAACTATAAGTGGGTGGTCATCGCTATTCCCTTATCGCATCATATTTCGCTTGAGGAGAGGAAGTATTCATTCTGTGGACTATAGGAGGTAAAAAGCAGACATATATTTACGAATGTATTGAATAAACTTTCGTTGTGAATTAGTACCAGCTAAAAGCATCACTTATTTTTAATCGCATGCATCCTGCTAGTTATCGATGAGCTAGCATACCTCAGGCTTATTTTCCTAAACAGTTTCCACTTTTTTTGCGTTTTAGGCCACTGCCCGGAAAGCGACACCTGCACCCACTTGATATCTCATTCAATGACTCTCGATAGTAGAAGAGCATATCATGAATAGAGTCTGCAGAAAAATCCGATTTTCGCTTTCTCCATTCTCACAGAAATGAAAACCCGTGTTGTTGAAGACCAAATCTTTTTTAACTGCTGAACAACCGCCGCCTGCTCCAGAAACTAAAGCAGTTGTATCGATTTTCAGATACGGTCTCAGTGGTCGACTTAACCAAAGGGTTCATTCCATATTAAATCACTGTCTACATTAGGGATTGTGTGTCGCAATCCATTCACAGAAGGGAACTTCAAATAAACTAACATTCAGTCGCTATCTACTTTTAGAAATGATACGTGGATCCCGTCCTTCTGGGAGTGGTGGACCTGCGTTTCAATTAAGGTTAGTGGATTGAAGTACCAGCCTAATGGGTATTTCTTCTTCAACCGAAATTTGTGATCCCTTCAGTGGGCTTGATGATGTAAAGACGATTCACATTTGTGAGCGCGAAAGAAAATAATTATAATCTACTCAAAAGAATATTGAGAAATGCATTTACTGCATCTGCACATTTTTGGTATGCGTAAAAAACTGGGCAGCTAAATTCAGAAAATATACAATGGTGGCTTGCAATGTTAGCACAGATACACACCAAGGCTGCTAGCAGTTTGTTTGTGTCATCATCATCTGGCTGCAAAGGGTACGTTTATTCAATGAGAGGGAAAGACTGAATTATATCACAGTCTTGGGAAAAACATCGCGCAATCAGTGCGAAGCTGAATCGGTAGGCCCGTCTAGGCGCAGTTGACTTCTGAAGTATACTGATGTGTCTCGCACTCTCATTTACGCATGCGTTCTATGCAACATTTACTCCTTTCGTTTCGTCTTCGCGCCTGGTTTGGAGACTTGAATTGGACTCTACCATGGTGATCGGAGCTGAGCAATGCACAGATTCGCTTTCTGGCCATCGGTTTGTCCCGGTTTGATTCGCCGGGCATACCCATTGCAATCGACTGGATAGGACAGTGTCCGCTTCATTGTGTTGTGGCGACTGATCAACAAAAGCGCAAGCGAACAGAGGTTATAACTCAATGACATTTACCGGTTTCGGGATAATAGAATGTTTTCTAAGATGCAAGATAAACAGATTTTTCCTTAAAAACGAGGTGGTTACATAACACCATTTTTCATAATAACGCAGTGTATGAAAGTGAAATATTTTGACTGTCGATAAGTAGAGGTGCTGGTAGTTGATCAAGGGTTTATGGTTTTATAGAGGTTGAAAAATGGCGGTTGAACTGTTCGCTGAGCTTGGCAATTTTGTTGCAAATGTTTCGTCACCAATCGACAGCGAATTCAATCAATCGACGCATCAAACTGGACGCAGTATACGCAACACTACTGGCGAACGACCGCCAACTCCATCGATTTAATCCGGTGGAACGTGTGACTAGACAACCAGAACTGACTACAGACTCGCTCACAAGAGCAAGCAAACAAAGACCACGAAACACAAGGGGTCCAGCCCGATGGTCATCAACCAAGCTGAACGCGGATCCAAGTTCCAATCAATAGTGTTGCTCCTCTCTACGGGCAACCACGGCGGTATAAAAACACACACACACACAACGCTCAGCGCACTCTTACCGAGGCTGCTTTACGCTACTGCACGCCACCCAACTACTCACTGATGATGTCACCTCGATTAGTGGCGAAACATTTGCAAAAAAAGTGCCAAGCTCAGGGAACAGTTCAATCGTCATCTGGACAACCTGAGCTACCAGTCTTTAATGCTATGAGTTGGAAAATCTCTGAAAACAGCCATATAACGTGCTATCCAATGGAGTAACTGCAGCGTTCCCATCAGTAATAGGCGAAAGCAATCATCATCATCACTATACACGTTAGCTGCAGGTGGAAAACGCCTCAGCTATTGTACTGCAATACAAAAGACAAGAAAACGAAAACAAACAGTGGCACGCCAGCTGAGATCCCAGTAACGGATGGACATCGTTCCGTATTATGCCTAACGAATGAGATCGTGATTGGAGAGGGATGATAAGCAGGATGGGGGTGGACAAAGGAACTCACAACACAAACACCATCGGGGCCGGCTCCAAGCCAAATCAGCAAGTGTGTCCAACCAAATGTGTTTACCGTCCTTAGGACCCCAGCCAGGCAGTCAGGATGCACCAACCGACGCCAACTTCGAAGTGAGGGTTTTCATCTCTCTCGACCAAGTCATCGCCTGGCCTCCCCTCCTCATCTTCCAACAGCACCCACAACGCGCAAACAATGCACGTCGCGGAAGTCGGTGTGCTGGCATGCGCAACGCGTGGCCCAATCATCGGAGCCTGGTGCGTGATATAATGGTGCTGAGCGGTTCACTCGCTCTTCCTGCATCAAATACGCGACACCGAACACGCTCATTGCTCACGCGGTGCTCCCACCAGACATGAGCTAAGCTGTGAAGGCAGCGATGATCGAATATGGCGAGCCTCTTTATGTCTGTCGATCTGATGGGCCAGGTTTCACAACCATATAAGAGAGTTGAACGGACGGCTGCGTTGTAAACTCTGCCCTTGAGGGCGAGAGTAATGTCGCGTCTGCGCCACAGGTGGCGGAGAATGGCAAAAGCACCTGGAGCTTTTGCTATACGGTTCGTAACCATATCTTCAATCCCACGTGTGCTAATATAGCTGCAATCTTAATACAACTTCCGCATCCTCAGTGTATACGAGTAAAACGCTGGAAATATCGGTAGTCAGATAGGAGCAACCTTTAACAGCGACGCAAGTGAATATCCGATTCACACAACAACGCCGGTAAAACTGTGTCCAGTAGTCTTATATCAGTCATCTTCATAGATGGCTATGAAAAGCCACACGGGTGCATGCGGTTACATCGATGGTGTTACCGCGTAACCAAACCGATCGACTACCCCATGCAGCTGTTCGATGGTAGTAATAGCTTGTAGAGTCGATCAAGTCGTGCAACATTACCTTGCACATATCGCAGCCTGCAGCGCCTACGTAGCAGTCATATCCGATCCAAAGAGAGCAGTGGTTCGCGCACATCAAGGTTGGACGGTTAGCCACGTTATATCGCTCACAGTCCGGAAGAAGTAGAAGACATAAGAAAGTCAGTTTGATCGCAGTGTCAAATGGAATTCAAGCGTTTTATCCAATCGTTCTGGTATCTCTCAATTTTCAAAAATATAGGTCGGCGCCATAATTCAATGATCTTCATAAAAAACGTGTGCAAAATTACAGCTACTGAGAAGCGGAGCAAATAGACCGAGATGACAGCAGAAGTTGATCCATCAACTTTGGAGCGGCTGAACCAACTGCCAAAATTAGCCGCAGAAGGTTGGCTCACTCAACCTGTAAATGGACAGGCGGAGCACTTGAGAATCGTGGATTTTATAAAAACCTTTCATTGAAAGCTGTTGTTTCAAAGCATTTTCTAGCTGTTAACAGTGTACCTCGGGGGAATTTGCCTGTCACTGCGGGCTCCATAGGACGCCTTCGCCTACAAAGGGACCATGGGTGGCTTGCGCTGTGCTACGCACACCCCATATCTACCGTTAACCTGGAAGAATTAGACCGGAAGTCATTTGAATGGGAACCGCGTTTTAGCAACAACCCTCTTGATTGTAATTAACTGAGGTTCTTCGCAGCTAGTTTCCAAATCAGATAATCGTCCACATGTCCGGAAAAGCACCAGACTGCACTAGATTCATGAGTGCATCTAAATATACCTGCCCTGACAGTTTCTAAATGCTATGTCGTACATAGCCACTGTTAGCGGACGTCGTGTCTTTCGGGGCCAACCCTGTCCTCTACAACGTTAGTAACTTGCATGGCAGTGGAGGATAAGACGCACTATATCGCAGTTAGCTTGTAAATCATGACGGTCCGAAGCTGTCCCCCGTGGCCCAGTGGCATAAGCTGCTGACTGGTCATGGGTTCGAATCCTGATGGATCCGATGGATGCGCACTACTGACGATGCCCAACAGACTGAAACTGCAGTCTAGTGCTTTTCCGGGCATGTGGACGACTATCTGATTTGGAAACGACCTCAATTAATTACATCAAAAACCCCCTACTCATGAGTACTTCTCAATTGTACTTTCTCGGTCCCAATGCCTTTGTTTAGCACCCCTCCAAAAATTGTTCATTGTAATCTATACAGTGGCGAAGAGCGTTTAGCTCCTATCTGCTCAATCATTTGGATAATATTGAATCTAAGTTTACTCTAAAAGATGGACGCGTTGGTCTCACTTTGAAAATGATTTGCCGCGTACATGCGGGTTGAATCGTAAATAATTGTGTGATACGACAAGTGTTGGCTACAAGCAAATTCTATTGATTGATGATCAGTCAGCCAAATTCAACTGTCCTACATAATGGCCGGATTGTACTGCGCTTCTTCATGCGTTAGAACCGTTTGCGCACTGGCGATTCTAGTTCAGAGTCACCATCGCATGGGAACAAACTAAATGAGGTGCCTCGTTTGGAAAATCCAGCGACCCACTGTGCTTTGCTGAGTGCTAAGTTCTGAGAGCCTGCAAAAAACAATCGACGGTTGAAGGTTAGTTTTATCATTCTCATCCGGGCTTAGATACATGTCGATGATCCTCTTCCTTTCAAAACTTGACGTAGGTAGCATTAGTCTACGAGCTATAACCCCGGCTTGATTGACGCAGAACATGGGTGTGCAACTTGGCCATGGTAATTAGAGAGCACCATTTCTGTTTTTGTCTGATGAACACTGGCCGAACAATTAAGCCACAGACTGGAGCATGTGATACTGAAATTTGATAGCTAGAAGAGGTAAATCTATGTTCCTTCATCGATATGTTATCGAGCACACACGCGGAATAACACCAGTTATGACGGTGCATTGTCTACATAATTCAGTCTTGCGACGTCCTATTCAGGTGTGATGCGCTCTCGGGATATGTACTCTGTAAAATGGGAATCTAGGAATTCCTTGAATCCCGACACCAATTTCACCTCGACCGTTGTCTCAGACAAACTGTTCCAATATCTCACCACTCGAGGCATAACGGGTGAGCTATCCTCTTTAGTTTCGGTAGTACAAGGTTATACCGGTACCCGCGAATGCTGCTTCATGCGTAGCCTCAGCATAGGGGAGTCACCCAGATGTACTGTCCGTTGCGTCATTATGAGATCAACTGGAAATCGACGATATGAAGGGATGTATAGCACCAGTCTCCTGCATAGATCTTCGTAAAACATACATCGTAAACTGCGGATGAGTGTTGTAACGCTGCCCTCGCCTCTACTCTCTGATTAACTGATCTACACAGTCACGGATGAAAATAGAGCACCGAGGCTGCTCGACCGAAGTATATTAGGCACAGAACACGTTTCATTTTATAGGTTACCATCTATCATCTCCTGTTGTAAGTTTCTGAGCTGACTCAAGCCACTTGCCCTGGACAGATTTCAAACCTGCTTGCGGCCTGTCACGTAGCAACCTGTTTCATGCTAACGGTCTGATTACATCAACTTCCCGCGTGACTTAGCCGTGTTACCGCCGCTCGGGTAGCAACCCGTGTGATGATGACGATTTCATCAGCTTCCGGCGTGACTCAGCCCTGGTACCGCCGGTCGGGTAGCAACCCGTGTCCCGATGATAGGCGTCTCGAAACCGTGTCACGTTCTTATGCTGCGGCCTCCGATTACCTCCCTTTTCGAATTGAGTCTGCTTGCGTACTGTTCGAACTCGATTTTGTTCATAGCTTTTCGCCTTGGGATCAATTTGTAGCCATTGTGGTCGTCTCCGCTTTCGGGTCGGCCTGCATTGTGTATCATCTGATGCTTTCAGGTTCTGTAGTGATCCACGAAGCCGCTCAGCCTTCTCTTCCAAACCAAATGTGCCTAGCAGAATCTCCCACGGTAAAGATGGCGGTTCTGGGGAGCTTTGGATCTTGTCGTGATTCGGCGTCAGCTGATCGGCGTGTCTGTCCCACTACTTGTTTCCAACCCTTAGTTCGTTATTGACTCCGCCATTGTTGCCCACCACCGATTCTGTCGACCACCTCCTCGGTCGACGGAAATCTCTCACGTACTTCATGTCACCAATATTAAAACGATTGACCCAGTCTGCTCGATTTTTCTCCGTATGCCATCGCCTCACCTTTGGACTGCGACTCTGAACGCGTCGGCTTGGGAATGATGATAGTAACACTTGATTGACTTGTGATTCCTGACTAATCTAGCAATTCCAACTCGTGCTTCCAGTCGAGACCGAGCAGACCTAACCCCGGCTTGTCTGTCACGAAACATATGTGGATATTTTGATCACGAAATCTGATTTGACAGTTCAACTGACCAAGCAACTTTAACATACCTCCTGACGTATTCTGTACTGTTTGACACGTTTGTCGGTGGCGGACGAATGAGCGTGCACCATGTATCACGGGAAATTAGTGTTGTATCTGAAGCGGTATCCAGCTGCAACTTGACTTGAATGCCATTGATTTCCACCGTCGTATACTTACGTCTGATGAGCCTATCGACTTTGGATGTGGTAATAGATCTGGTCATATTGAGACGTCTGGACTGTCTAGCATTGTCTCGCCTTTTCCTGGTCATAATGGGATGACTTACCAGACAACACGACCCTTTGTGCTCCCATTTACCACAGCAATTGCAAATGTGATTTCTGAACGGGCAGTTCCGGATAAATTGCCAGTCTCTACAAAATTAACAAGCAGAGAGAGGTTTGGAATCTGAAGGACTCACATGAGCTAATTCATCTTGGGGACTGCGGTTAACTGCATAGAGCTGGTCATGATGGTTGCGTTTGGACAGCTGCTGAATCATTGACTTCAGATTGGTCATTCTTCGGCATTCACTGGTTATCTGCTGCAGCTTCTTGTTCGTGTATCTGCCTCTTTTGCTTCTTGTAGACCGCAGACGTTAATGACACACTTGTACTGGTCAGCAATCATTTTGTGAAACTGAACGTTCGCACTTGCGATTTACACGGCTCGAGTAGGTGACCCAATCTTCGTCATCTTTCTTGGCCATCGTGAGACACTTGTACCGAATGTTGAACAATGATGTCTGCTCATCAAAAATTTGACAGAACTGAGACAGTTTCTTCCAGAGATAGGTCAGTGCTCTACTTTGGCAAGATGAAATTTATAAACTTTTCGTGTTCAGCCGCACTCAGCTTCCGGAACATCAGGTGAGTTTTCTTCTCTTCTGATACATTTGCGAAATCAACACGAAACATCTTCATACTTATGAAATCAGGAAGCGAATGTCACGCCAGCATCCGCATCATAATGCAATTCACTGATCTGTTGTGTCACGGTTTGTGGAAAGGGGGCACTTTCACTTGCCCCAAAAACTGGGCTGGACCGTATCGACAGCTTCTGCGTCAACATCTCAATGAGCTTGGCCTGCTGCTGCAAGTGTCTGCAATTGTTCGGATCCAGCTGCCATTTCTGGGCTCCATTGATAATCGCGTCGCCACTGTTGTAACGCTGCCCTCGCCTCTACTCTCTACCCAGCTGGGGACGAAAACAGAGCACCGAGGCTGCTCGACCGAAGTATATTAGGCACAGAACACGTTTCATTTTATAGGTTACCATCTATCATCTCCTGTTGTAAGTTTCTGAGCTGACTCAAGCCACTTGCCCTGGACAGATTTCAAACCTGCTTGCGGCCTGTCACGTAGCAACCTGTTTCATGCTAACGGTCTGATTACATCAGCTTCCGGTGTGACTCAGCCCTGGTACCGCCGCTCGGGAAGCAACCCGTGTCCCGATGATAGGCGTCTCGAAAACATGTCACATTCTTATACTGCGGCCTCTGATTAATGAGCCCGGTACCTACATGTTGAATATTTTGCACCTCGCCACAGGTTACGAGACAATAGGCAGGTGAGCCGTACTCTTATGATTGAAGAAGCGAGTGGAAATCTTTTCAAACCAAGTGCAGAATTGCGTTTTGGCGCCTAAAGGATGTGCGGTCTTTGTACTCCACGGACTTTAGATCACAGCGTAGGAGTACGGTCATCACAACCTTTCCCAAGGCATAGTGGCGTTTCTGTAACCGATTAGGCATATCTGAAACGCGGTTATTACTAGCCGAAGCGTTATGGCACATTCGGAGTCCGGCGAATCGTTGTTTTAACTTGGGGGATCTGTCAACAGAAATCGGGACTTTGGCGACCGAAAGAGTCAATCATTGCTGCCCATACTGGACCAACCGATCCCGACAGAGCCATGATAAGCATTGTATGGATCACAGCGCTTCCGACTGAATCGGGTTATTGGTAAGTGCCCGTTATTGGAAACAATAAAAGATAGTGATGAAAATAGCTTGAAACGCAGTGCACAATAGAAGTGAATGATGGCATTGTTTGCAATTGCAACTTAGCAAGGTGGAAAACAAAGGAACGCGATGATTGAAATGTGAAAGAAAATGCATGAGTGTGGGGCAAGCAGATGCAAATGACGTAAAAGAACTGCAAAGTATTTTGAACGTATCACTGATTGCCGTTATTCGGTCACCGTTAAGACGTTATTTCTAGAGAGATATAGTTAGCCTTCATCAGAAATCAAGAAGACCCACTAAGGTACATTAGATGGATGGATAGACCACCTGTGTGCACATTAGAAAACAGTAGCAACGGAGCGACAGAAAAGATTTTACTTCAATTTACCGGATAGTTCACGTACTGTTGCGTATTTTCGACTAGGCTCGAAAGATGAAGGTAGGAAATTAGTTTTTGCGTCTGCATTTTGATGTGGCAGGTGGATGACATCACCGGTTGCCAGATTGTGGGCGCTGTTACTCCTGCGGTCCGCGAGTCGGATTAGCTCAAACGTGCAAGGCACGTTGGTGACAGAAGTAGTTTGTCTCCGCAGTGTCACGTCCCTCAGGACGGGCTGAATGGGCAGGCTTGCGGTACGTGGACGAGACGGGATAGAGTAGACCCTTGTATACCGTTTGCTTGTGAAACGAGGATCCACTACGCCTGGTATGTTTTCATAGTCCGAACATTGACGGGAGACTGAGTAGAAATCGGGGAACGAAGTAACGGATTGTAGAAAATCGTCGGGAACAATTATGTATTAGCTGATTCTGAAGTAATACAACGAAATAGGCGCACGTGTTATGACATTAAGGAGGATAGTGTTGACGAATCCAAATTACATTTAATGGCATTTTATCGTGAAGAATTAACTTCGAGATCCCGGACAGTACAATTGTTCAGTTTCGTATTGCTCACTAACTGCTGCGTACACAGTGGAACAATCCCCAATCACACAACGGGTACATAATCACAACGGAACACCACACAGTCTACATCACTGCCAAATACGATAGTCTGCCGCAGAGTTGGTAGGGTTTCAGATGCTAACCTTGAGGTATGAATTGATATGCAAGCTACGAGGCAACCAATGGACAGTGGTAAGTGTCAGTGGAATTGCTGGGTAGCTGATCTCAACAACCGCGCGAGATAGGCAAAATAATCCGATTTAGTCATTGGGCGATGTGTTACTTGTAGTTTGAAACCCAGAGAAAATTGGTAGATCCACTAACGGTGTGTTTGATCAAACTGGCGAAAAGATAACATAAATCAAACGGGAGTCGTGAAGTGTTATAGTAGAAATAACCGAGTGAGCACCATACACAATAACTTCAAGCAGGTGCTGCTCTACGGAGCTGTAGACATGCCATTCACAGTGAACGTTGCGGATAAAGTGATGCTGCACTGTGGAAAATGTCAGATGGGGTATGAAGCCCACTGCGACACGTGACCACAAAGAGAACAAGACTGTCCAGTCAGCAGCTTGCAATTCTTAAAACTTAGGATTCTCAAACACTTCCGAAAGTATGTCCATGTGGACTACACTGCGACGATCAAACAAGCCCATAAGTCGAAGAAGAAAAGTCGTAACGGCTTTGGGACAGTCGAAAGAATATTTCCATTATGTACAACACGTGTAAACGCGGATGGTTCGTGAAGTGCTAAGACTCCAAGCAGCAAATTAACGCTTCAGCACTAAGCCCAGTGAGGGTTAGATCAGTGAGATAAGCTCAAACCTGCCACTGAGCATCATCTTCAACAGCAACAGCACTCTGGCATTTAGTATCGGTGATCCGGCAACAAACAACCACAACGACCCAACTGATCATGAAGAATGCAAGAGTGACAGTGCATGAACTCAGAGCACCAAGGAAACACTCCGGATGAGGACAACTACAATTTAGGTAGCAATCGCGTGTAGATGTGATCGAATGGGTTTTCACTGCCCAAAATTAGTTGTAAATTCTCCTACTTTGGATATACTTAAAAACGATTGGAGTTGTTCTCACTTGAATTACGCCGTTTTCGATTACCTTAATCATGCCCTTCTACAGGATTTGTGTCACACGCATTAGTGTGCGACTATGTTTTACTTTTCGCACACTTTACATCAACGATCACTGCACCCAGTGTATTTCTGTATACCTACACTCTATTTTTATGTTACACTTACATTATTTTTCAAAGGATTTATCTCGACAGACGTTCGATAGATGGCACACATATATTTCGACTTCATTGTACTCATCCCGACCATACTACGGGACGAGTCAAGCACTTGCTTTTATCCCGTGGTAAATCATTGTTCAGATGTCACCAGTTCTGCTTCGTCAACCGTCAAGTGACTGTAGCATAATTCCGCACTCCGAATAGCTAACATAGGTACCAGAGGATCAGACTACTCTAGTGCCGTCTCGTGATTGTCTACCGATATGACATCGTCTTGCATCATCACAACATCCTAGCTGATGATGAGAAACACACTCCAGCTATTGTGCCGTAAAAAGGCAGATACTAAACATCACAGAATAAATCACAACAAAATCAAGAAATACTACGTTAAGTATCATACTGTCCAGGGAGTGTGAGATAGTCGTTGGACGGAGGGGATACACGGGAAGGGAGCGGACGGTGGCCTTCAATCCGTTGTTATCGGAAGCTTTTACATTGCCTCTCATACGTTATGGTCCGAAGTGAAGCCTTTAGTTGAGCAACTTTCTTTGGTATTACTGTCGAAATTAGAATGTTCTGCCTGCATTGTCGACGATGACTTTAATAAATGTAATACAATGTTAATAGAAATTGAGTGTTGCCAACCCGAAAACACTGCACTACTATGACGCGCTTCGATGCTATTACATCTCATCAGATAGTTAGCAGGCATCGAACCCGGGACCATTGGGATGTTAATTGTGACCGCTACCCCCAAGTCACGACGGGCAACGATTGGCACAACGGGCGGGCAACACTCAATTTCTATTTGCATCAGCTAGGGTCCTCGTGATCGCAAGACTAAGGTTCACTTCAATGGGAATCGCGGTTAACATTGAGATTACGCGTCGCAATCCATCGACACAACGTGTACTTCAAAATGACCCTCACCATCGTAAGACAACGTCCTTCAAGTCACTTGGTCTGGCAAATTTAGTAACTTTCCCGATCAGACAAGACATAGCTTGGTTGCTTGCACAAACAAAATTCGTTTGTTTTCTACTCAAAAGCGTACAACACTAAGCAACTCGGACGATTGTATACTAGAAGATTTGCCTTACAATCTACAGTAAAACTACCTATATCGCATTGACGGAACGACAATTTCAGGACTATCCGACAACGCAATTGCTCGGTTGAAGATATCGCACCTCTTCAGGCAACGCATTCTTCACCCGATTTTTCAGTTTTTACAGATGAAGTTCTATCGCTTCAATGCGATCATCTCACGAGTTACATAAATATTTGCTACCACCTATGCTGCTTCACGGAGATGATCTATCTGGGAGGAGATAGATTTTCTTCATACCTGCTGAAACAGCTTCGAAGAAAAAAGAACTGCTTATAAACTCAGAACGACCACCAGACTCAAAAGCCTGACTTAAGCACCTAAAGGCCAAATAGTTAATACATTGGAACGTTACTGGGAAACCGTAACTGCCGAGATCTCAGGAGGCTGTTGAAGCAAATCTGTGGTAAAAGTACCATCGGAGGCGCTGGAATCGTGGATGTTGACAAACTCAATTCTGAATTTAGTTCCTCTCCGTCGAGCGCTTTTCCAGTACCCTCCTTCACTAGCTCATACCCAGCCGCCTTTTTGGTTCAAGCTGACGTCAAAAGATAACTCAAGAAGCTAAATACTGATAAAGCTAGTGGCCCTGATGACTTATTATCCGTGATTTTGAAGCAGTGAGCCGAATCCCTTACATTACCCCTGACTGATAGTTTTAACAAGTGTCTCACGACCGGTGCTATCCCTGACATCTAGAGGTCAGCCAGAATAACGTCAACTCATAAAAAGGAACCTCATAAGTATCGGCCTATTGTTTGTACTTCCGTGCTCTTAAAAGTCCTCGAAAAGCTACTAGTTTCACGGATTTCCACAGCTACTCTTGTTGATGATGTGTACCAGCTTGCGTTTAGACCACAGCGCTCCATACTTGATGCTGTCTCGTAGCTTGTGCATCCAATGCCTCTGCGCTACATAAGAAGTGCAGGTCCACACGACTTCTTTTTCTTGACTATTCAAATGCTTTTGGGAGCCTCGATCAATCAGTACCGCTTAACCTACTTTATTTGAACGGTGTCCACCCTGATATTTGTAACTTGTTGCGTGACTATTTCACTGATCGTATGCACTTTACTCAGCTAAGCGGCACAAACCTCTCTATGCTCCGCGACGACTATGGTATTTTACAGGGCGCCATCCTCTCACCCCTTGTATTCTCTTTATCTGTCGCAACAACATTCATTGGATGTAATTATGGAGACGATTTTTTCTTGGGGTGCATTTCTCTCTCCACTGAGATGTCTATGCTTCAATGTGGTTTAGACAAACATGTGAGTTGATCATCAACCAGGCCCCTTAACCTTAACGATTCGAAATGTACTGATGTCACATTTTCGTTTCTACGCCCTGATAAATTGCGAGTAAGTTTACATGCCTCTACTTTATTAACTTAAGAGGACGAAACCACTCCTATTTCACCCACTGTCAAATATCTCGGAGTCTATTTTTACAAAACCTATCTTGGTCTACGCACTTTTTGGAGATCTTTCACAAAGTCAGGTTATCTTTTTATGTTTTCCGATTTAAGATGTTCTCCGTACCGTGAAGCTTAATTTTGTAACTTGTGACCGCATGTATACTACCCCACTGGTTGTCCTGTTCCCCAGTAATCTTCCCTGGACTACTGTAAAAGGACAATGTTTTGATTGTGCGATCGATTAAACATATTTCCAGATGTGCTGGCTCACCTAGAGATTCCATAGTTGATTTCATTGCTCGTGAGTATGCATGCATTAGTCTTCTAAGATCCCAAGTGACCGCTTTCATCCGCTACATAATGCTCTCTCATAAACGTTATCTGTCTCCCATATGCTCTCAAAATTTAGGATTTTATTCTCTCGCACTTATTCGTATCGTGACGCAATCTTGCTTCATTTGTCACGCTTTTTTGTTGTCCTTATGAAAGTCACAAATACTTTGCACATGCATTTTCTTGAATGACATCCACATACTTTTGACTACTTAATTTTGCAATCACTGTTTCCGTATTTTTAAATGATCCCATTCATTTTGTGTATCCGCAGTGATAGTGTAAATACTAAGAATGCACCTATTTAAATGTATAAAGCCTATTTTGACGGCTTGACTTGATTGGAATTTGAAGACAACGGATGGAAGTCAGCCAACCAGTTGGCGGAAAAGCATGAAAGCACTGGCCTCCTGTTTCGCAATCGTTGACTACATCTTCCGGGTTGGGTGCCAAAGGGTGAGGATTGACAATGGCTCGCCACACTTCGTGGTTTAACGCGAAATCGAAATCAGTGGAAGAACTGTATGTTTAAATGTTTTGAAAGATATGATTAGAGCTATATCAAACAAAATGGCGTGTAAAAGCAAGAAAGATCTAAAAATATGTAACCTTTTCTTGCCCTTAGTACTCCTTTTTTGCTTCTGTTCCTCATGATTCTTCGATGGCTCG